CTGGCATTTCTCACTTAATATATCTTAAAAATCATTCCACACCAGTACACAAAGACCACCTCAAACTTTTCTTGATGATGAATAATAATCCGTTACATTAACATTTCTTCATTTGTCTACCCACTCTCCCATTGACGAACATTTCCATTACATTCAATTTTTTGATACTACAGATAGTACTGCAATGATTAATCTATCAATAAGTGATCTCCGGTGAGCAGCTAAGAGGAGATACCCCACATCCAAGGTAAGGAGCAGCAGCTGCACTTTGCTGGAGCAGCCGGGAAGAGATATGCCACGTCCAAGGTAAGAGAAACCCCAGTAACACACTAGGCACTGAGAGAGGGCATCAGAAGGCAGACAGACAGACTGAAACCACAGTCACAGAAAACTAACCAATCTAATCACATGGACCACAGCCTTGTCTAAGTGACATGTCTAAGCCATGCCATGTCTAAGCCATGCCATGCAGGGCTACCCAAGATGGATGGGTCTTGGTGGAGAGGCCTGAGAGAATGTGGTCTACTGGAGAAGGGAATGGCAAACCACTTCAGTATTCTTGCCTTGAGAACCCCATGAACAGTATGAAAAGGCAAAAAGATAGGATACTGACAGATGAACTCCCCAGGTCGGTAGGTGCCCAATATGCTACTGGAGATCAGATGAGAAATAACTCCAGAAAGAGTGAAGGGATGGAGCCAAAGCAAAAACACCACCCAGTTGTGGATGCGAATGGTGATAGAAGCAAGGTCCGATGCTGTAAAGAGCAATATTGCATAGGAACCTGGAATGTTAGGTCCATGAATCAAGGCAAATTGGAAGTGGTCAAACAGGAGATGGCAAGAGTGAAAGTCAACATTTTAGGAATCAGTGAACTAAAATGAACTGGAATAGGTGAATTTAACTCAGATGACCATTATATCTACTACTGTGGGTAAGAATTCCTTAGAATAAATGGAGTAGCCATCATAGCCAACAAAAGAGTCCAAAATGCAGTACTTGGATGCAATCTCAAAAACGAGAGAATGATCTCTGTTCGTTTCCAAGACAAACCATTCAATATCATGGTAATCCAAGTCTATGCCCCAATCAGTAATGCTAAAGAAGCTAACATTGAATGGTTCTACAATGACCTATAAGAACTTCTAGAACCAACACCCAAAAAAGATGTCCTTTTCATTATAGGGGACGAGAATGAAAAAGTAGGAAGTCAGGAAACACCTGGAGTAACAGGCAAATTTGACTTTGAAGTACAGAATGAAGCAGGGCAAAGGTTATAGAGTTTTGCCAAGAGAACACATTGGTCATAGCAAACACCCTCTTCCAACAACACAAGAGAAGACTCTACACATGGACATCACCAGATGGCCAACACCAAAATAGATTGATTATACTCTTTGCAGCGAAGATGGAGAAGCTCTATACAGTCAGCATGATGAACTATGGACAGAGGTTCATGACATTATACAGGAGACAGGAAACAAGACCATCTCCAAGAAAAAGAAATGCAAAAAAGCAAAATGGCTGTCTGAGGAGGCCTTATACATAGCTGTGAAAAGAAGAGAACTGAAAAGCAAAGGAGAAAAGGAAAGATATTCCCATTTAAATGCAGAGTTCCAAAGAATACCAAGGAGAGATAAGAAAGCCTTCCTCAGTGAACAGTGCAAAGAAATAGAGGAAAACAAAAGAATGGGAAAGACTAGAGATCTCTTTGAGAAAATTAGAGATCCCAACGGAACACTGCATGCAAAGATGAGCTCAATAAGGACAGAAATGGTATGGACCTAACAGAAGCAGAAGATAGTAAGAGGTGGCAAGAATACACAGAAGAACTATACAAAAAAGATCTTCATGACCCAGATAATCACAATAGTGTGATCATTCACCTAGAGCCAGACATCCTGGAATGTGAAGTCAAGTGGGCCTTAGGAAGCATCACTACAAACAAAGCTAGTGGAGGTGATGGAATTCCAGTTGAGCTATTTCAAATCCTAAAAGATGATGCTGTGAAAGTGCTGCACTCAATATGCCAGCAAATTTGGAAAACTCAGCAGTGGCCACAGGACTGGAAAAGGTCAGTTTTCATTCCAATCCCAAAGAAAGGCAATGCCAAAGAATGCTCAAACTACCGCACAATTGCACTCATCTCACACGCTAGTAAAGTAATGCTCAAAATTCTCCAAGCCAGGCTTCAGCAATACGTGAACCGTGAACTTCCAGATGTTCAAGCTGGTTTTAGAAAAGGCAGAGGAACCAGAGATCAAATTGCCAACATCCGCTGGATCATCGAAAAAGCAAGAGAGTTCCAGAAAAACATCTATTTCTGCTTTATTGACTATGCCAAAGCCTTTGACTGTGTGGATCACAATAAACTGTGGAAAATTCTGAAAGAGATGGGAATACCAGACCACCTGACCTGCCTCTTGAGAAACCTGTATGCAGGTCAGGAAGCAACAGTTAGAACTGGACATGGAACAACAGACTGGTTCCAAATAGGAAAAGGAGTACGTCAAGGCTGTATATTGTCACCCTGCTTATTTAACTTATATGCAGAGTACATCATGACAAATGCTGGGCTGGATGAAGCACAGGCTGGAATCAAGATTGCCGGGAGAAATATCAATAACCTCAGGCATGCAGATGACACCACCCTTATGGCAGAAAGTGAAGAAGAACTAAAAAGCCTTTCGATGAATGTGAAAGAGGAGAGTGAAAAAGTTGGCTTAAAGCTCAACATTCAGAAAACTAAGATCATAGCATCCCATCACTTCATGGCAAATAGATGTGGAAACAGTGGAAACAGTGTAAGACTTTATTTTCTTGGGCTCCAAAATCACTGCAGATGGTGACTGCAGTCATGAAATTAAAAGACACTTACTCCTTGGAAGGAAAGTTATGACCAACTTAGACAGCATATTAAAAAGCAGAGACATTACTTTGCCAACAAAGGTCCATCTAGTCAAGGCTATGGTTTTTCCAGTAGTCCTATATGGACAGGAGAGTTGGACTGTTGAGTGCCAAAGAATTGATGCTTTTGAACTGTGGTGTTGGAGAAGACTCTTGAGAGTCTCTTGGACTTCACGTAGATTCAACCAGTCCATCCTAAAGGAGATCAGTCCTGGGCGTTCATTGGAAGGACTGATGTTGAGGCTGAAACTCCAAACTCTGGCCACCTGATGTGAAGAACTCACTCATTTGAAAAGACCCTGATGCTGGGAAAGATTGAAGGCGGGAGGAGAAGGGGACGACAGAGGATGAGATGGTTGGATGGCATCACCAACTCAATGGAGATGAGTTTGAGTAGACTCTGGGAGTTGGTGATGGACAGGGAGGACTGGCGTGCTGTGGTCAATGGGGTGGCAAAGAGTTGGACACTGAGCGACTGTACTGAACTACTGAAGTGATCTCCACATATAGGAGTATGTCTGTAATTTAATAGAATTAGGGCTTCCCTTTTGGCTCAGCTGGTAAAGAATCCACCTACAATGTAGGAGACCTGGGTTCGATCCCGAGGTTAGGAAGATCCCCTGGAGAAGGGAACAGCTACCCACTCCATTATTCTGTCTGGAGAATTCCATAGACTGTATCATCCATGGGGTCTCAAAGAGTCAGACAAGACTGAGCAACTTTCACTAATAGAATCATTATAAATAATTCCTGTAGCTAGAATTCCTGAATCAAAGATTTAGTATTTGTAATTTTGATGCTGCCAAATTGCAAATTCATGTCACCTGACACAACATTCTTTTGCCATTTTTCTACTGCATTTTTTTTTCTTACTGATTATGTCATGATGACATAAAAATATTCCCTAATTTGTCCATTGACTTTTGATCCAGCTATGATTGTTTTTGCATGGATACATTTTTTAAAACCTGGTTAAATTTTTCAGTCTTTTACTTTATGACTGCTATAACTTGTCGTATATTTCTAGGTTCTCTTCAGTCATAAATTACAAGAAAATTAATTTTTTTTTCCTATTTTATGGTTTCATATTTTTCTATTTAAAAATCTGTAACACATCTGGAATTTATTTGGTAACATTTGAGGTATGGCTCCAATTTTAATTATGTATTTATTGTTATAGCTAACTACTCTGTTGTCCAAACATTGATAAAAACCCAATGTTTCCAATGATTTGAAATGGGACCTTTTGTGTGTTGTTTAGTCGCTAAGTCACGTCCAATTCTTTGTGACCCCACAGACTATAGCCTGCCAGGCTCCTCTATCCATGACATTTCCCACGCAAGTAGGTTGTCATTTCCTTCTCCAGGGGTTTTTCCCGACCAAGGGATCCTCATCTCCTGCATTGGCAGATGGATTTTTTTTTTTTACCACTGAGCCACCAAGGGAGCAAAATGGAACCTTTAGCATGTGCTAAATCCCTATATATATTTGGATCTACTTCTTAATTTTCTATCTATTTATGTACCAGTGGCATCCTGGTTTGATTTTTTTTAATGTAACTAAAAGCAACTGTACCTTCAATTTTTAAAAATTTATTTATGTATCTCCTTAAGTAACTCTTTCCTTGGGTCAGTGATCCATGGAAACAAGGTTTCCTGTCTGTGTCTTACAACTTTGTTTATTTTCCCTTAGATAGCTCAGGACTAGATTTTTCTTAGTCTTCCAGGAAAAGAAATTTAGCCTTTACAATCTGAGTGCCATAGTCAAATGAATGGCATAATCTAGGGCTTATGAAATGACCATAGGAATATCATGTTTTACTTTTCCAAATCCTGATGCATAACACAGTCACAAGGAACAGGCTCTTTGATTTCTATAGCCACTTTAAAATAAAAATTGTATAATTAATGAATATTTACTCTATAGCAAGTTGTTCAGTTGGGATGCCTTTGATTTCAAGTCATAGCAACGGATTCAAACAGCCTTCCAGAATAAGGAAATGCATGAACTGCGATAAGTAGTTCTCAAAGAGCAGGGAGATGGATAGGCAGTGTCAGTATCCTGGCTGTGTCATTACAGATCCAGGCTCTTACCATTTTATGTTCCTCCATCCTCGGTCGTTGGCTCCATTCTCAGGCTGATGGAAAAATGTCTTCGGCATTTGCAAGTATCCTCTCCAGACATGACAACACCTTGAAAAAGAAGAGATAGCATCTCTTTTTGTTCTTTTAGGCAAGGAAACATTTCCCAGAAGTCTCCCATGTATGACTGGTCAGAATTTGGTGACTTTCCCATTTCCAAATCAATTACTGACAACAGGAATGTGACCACCTTAAGCAATCAGACCCATCCCTGGGGTGGGTGAAGGTGAGTTCCCACCAAGGCACATGGCTGCTTGCAAGAAGGTGAACATCTGCACAAAACCTGGATTCTGGTAGTTACAGGAGTGGGCAATGGAAGCTGATAATGATTCTGCCCCAAGCCCCTCTCTTTTTTCTCTCTCCTGACTGGTTCCCTTTGCAAGACATCCAACAATCCTTAACATGTACTTAGTGTTTGGTCATGTATTAACTGCAAACTACAAAATTCAGTCAACATTCATGGAACTCCTACTACATGCCCAATACTACGTGAGGAGCTGAGGACTAGAAGAAGGAAAGACAGGGATCCCGATCCCAATGATTTAATGGAGAGGCAGAAAATTAATGAATTTCATAGTACAGTGATAAGTGCTCTATGTACATAATCTAATGGTGCTATGGGAGTTCTAAAGAATGAATAACTTCATAAGGAACTTCACAGTAAAGCAAATGGAATATTCCAGCTGAGCTTTGAAAGGTAAGTAGGTAATCAAGGAAGAAGGACATTCAGGCAGGGAAATTAGCTAGTACCAAGGACCAAGAGGGCATTGGCCTGGGATGCTCAGGTCACCACAAGTGTAAGATAGCAGTGAGGCGCTGCTTTAAACAAAGAATGAAGGCACCTGGGGAAGTTTTGGGTCCTGATTAACAACTTGTCTTATGCTGTTTAAGAGACATCATCAGTGGATATCATCCCTAAGATGCTCTGAGAGAGGTCAAAGCTAATCATAGCATTCAAAAACAAATAGCATCTTATGAGTCAACTCTAGAGTGACACTAGTGGTAAAGAACCCGCCTGTCAATGCAGGGGACATATGAAATGCAGGTTTGATCCCTGGGTGGGGAAGATCCCCTGGAGGAAGGCATAGCTATCCACTCCAGTATTCTTGCCTGGAGAATCCCCATGGACAGAGGAGCCTGGTGGGCTACAGTCCATGGGGTTGCAAAGAGTCAGACACGACTGAGGCGACTTAGCACACAGCACATTAGAGGTGACAGACCACCTCTCAGAGACCCCCAAATCTTCCTTTCACTTCACAATCACACTTCTTGCGAGTGATATCCATACCAACAATCTTCTTACTTCCATTCAATCCTTAATCCCAACCCTCTAAATTTAGCGATATGGTGGTTGTTCCTGCAAAGCTCACCAGTGGCCTCAAAAACTATAAAAATATAATAAAACCAATGACAACAAAATAACTCCTCTTACATCCCACCTTCCAATCACATGAACTATATATAATTCATAAATTACATTGATTAATACATTTAGAGACCATAGGCACTGAAAGTATGAATTCTTTCTCCCCTCAATATAAAATTAAAATTAAAGGCATTCCTAAGTCATAATCTTTTCCATAGGGACTTCATTTTTTATCATATTCCACCCAAAAAAATTCCCTTTCTCTGTACCTCTGCGTTATTGCTTATTTAAACACATGCCCACCATTTGAGTAATCCAGCAATAAACACACTCATACCTTGTTTGTAGTAGGTAAATGGTGTCCCCCCAAAAGATATATTCACCCAGAACCTCAGAATACAATCTTATTTGAGAGAAGAGCCTTTGTAGATGTAATGATTCTTAGAGATGGAAATACCAGACCACCTTACCTGCCTCTTGAGAAATCTATATGCAGGTCAGAAAGCAACAGAACAGGACATGGAACAATGGAATGGTTCAAAATTGGGAAAAGAGTACATCAAGGCTGTATATTGTCACCCTGCTTATTTAACTTATTTGCAGAGTACATCATGCAAAATCCTGGGCTGGATGAAGCACTAGCTGGAATCAAGATTACCTGGAGAAATATCAATAACCTCAGATACATAAATGATACCATCCTAGTGGCAGAAAGCAAAGAGGAACTAAAGAGCCTCTTGATGAAGGTGAAAGAAGAGAGTGGAAAAACCTGGCTTAAAACTCAAATTCAAAAAACTAAGATCATGGCAACCAGTCCCATCACTTCAGAACAGAATACAATAGAAGGGGGGGGAGTGGAAACAGTGACAGATTTTCTTTTCTTGGGCTCCAAAATCACTTTGGCCAGTTAACAGCAGTCACAAAATTAAAAGACACTTGCTCCTTGGAAGAAAAGCTATGACAAACCTAGAAAACATATTAAAAAGCAGAGACATCACTTTTCCAACAAAGGTCCATATAGCTATGGTTTTTCCAGTAGTCATGTATAGATGTGAGTTGGACCATCAAAGGCTGAGCACTGAAGAACTGATCCTTTGAACTATGGTGCTGGAGAAGACTCTTGAGAGTCCCTTGAACAGCTAGGAGATCAAGCCAGTCAATCCTAAAGGAGATCAACCCTGAATATTCATTGGAAGGACTGATGCTGAAGCTCCAATATTTTGGCCACATGATGCGAAGAGCCAACCCATTGGAAAAGACCCTGATGCTTGGGAAAAATTGAGGACAGGAGGAGAAGGGGTGACAGAGGATAAGATGGTTGGATGGCATCACTGACTCAGTGGACAGGAGTTTGAGCAAACTCTGGGAGATAGTGAAGGACAGGGAAGCCTGGTGTGCTGCAGTTCACGGGATCTCAAAGAGTCAGACACGACTTAGCTACTGAACAATAACAACAAGATGTAATGAAGGTAAAGATCTCTAGATGACATGATTCTCCATTACGGTAGGCCCTAAATCAAATTGATGAGCTTCCCTGTAAGATAGGAAAACAGAGAATCACAGAGACATGTGGGGAGAATGGAGAACACCACATGAAGATTAAGACAGAGATTGGAGCAATGCTTCTACAAGTCAAGGAATATCAAGAATTATTGAAACCCCCAAAGCATGGAAACAGATTCTTCCTCAGAGCCTCCAGAAGGAACCAACCCTGCTTGATGGGGACTTCTGGCCTCCAGAACTGTGAGTGAACACTTTTCTGTTGCTTTAAGTCATCCAGTTACAATAATTTGCTATAACCGTCCTAGGCAACCAATATATTATTATGTAACATTTTTGAATTAAAATCAGGGAATTTTTTATTATAAGAAGACAAAACTCACTCCAGTTAGCTCAGCAAGTGAGGAATTTATTTTTAAGAACTGCAATCTCACAGGGCACAAAGATGAAAAATCAAGCCTCCTGCTTCTGGATCTGGAAACCAGGGCTGGGACGAAAAGTGACTCTCCATCTCCCAGAGACATCTAATAAGCTCTCTCACATTGCTCCCTCTGTGAGTCATCCCATGCTGTCCCCAGGCTGGCTTCCTTTGCTTCATCACTCTCTGGATATGTGTGGTTCATTAAGGTGTCTTCAGCCCCAAGTCTCTGTAAATTTCAGCTTTGTTCTCCACATCTGACTTTGTCTCGCCAGCATCCTAATTACAAATTGTCAAGTAAGGGACTGGGTTGGCCCGACTTAGTTGTTAGTTGACCCTGACCAACCATCAGGTGCCCATCGCTGGCCTATTTGCAGCACATGTGAGCTGGAGCACCATGGCATGAGTGCTATGCCTCCCAGGCTCTGGGCAAGAACGCCCCCTGCAGAGGTCACAGCAGTGCAGGTGAAGCTTGGCCTCTCTGGTACAATCTGGTCATTTTTCTGCTTCCGTTGCTAGACTCAAAGCCCCTCGAGGACAAGAATGTAGGTCTCAGTGCCTGAGACATGGTAGATACTCAAGATGAGTTTATTAAATACAAAGGAATTAGTTGAGCTTTGTAGAATTGTATCTATTCAGTAGACGAAAAAAAAAAAGGTAAATGTTTATGCCACTTTCCTGACAAAGTGGTCATTTTAAAGCTGATTTCCTTCCCTTAGGTCATTCTTGGAAATAGTAGAGAGACTATCTCTGTTTATTTCATAAAATGACACTCACAAAGCCACACAACTTCATCAGGTCCCTGATGAGTGGATATAAGGTAAACAGTTGTCTGACCTCTTTCTCTTTATCGGTATCCAAACCCCCTAGTCTTTTGGCCCATGCTATGATCTTTCTTGACAGAGCTCAGGCAAAGAGGTTGTTTGAGTCATTCTTTGCCTCTCTTTCCTTTTCTTTTCTTCCCTTTAAAAAAATGGATTTTCCCCTCCAGAGAAGGTCTCTTTTCCCCAAATTAATTTTTTTTGAAGTACAGTTGATTTACAATGTCGAATTCTTTTGCATACAGTAAAGTGATTCAGTTCTACATATATATATATATATAATATATATACATATATATAGAGAGAGAGAGAGACAGAGAGAGATAGAGATCTTATCTGATGGACCATTCTTTCAGGAGCCTGCTTAGGTTTCTAGAAATTTTTCCTTTGCTTTGGCTACCACTAGTTTGTTGAGGCCATTTCCTAATAGCCTCTCCCTTGGGTCTAACCTTCTCTAAGTAGACAGTGCTGTGCCAGAGCCTGGTGAAGATAAGAAATAACAAAAGGTCCAGAAGACATGAGCTCAGTCACTGCAGAGTTCCTGCAGTGTGGAGCACCCAGCAAGGCCAAGGCTGAGAGGACCCAGGAATCTTCAGGGCCTCATCTGCATGAGATTTGCAAATTAAAAGGATCCTGGTCAGGAACCCATTCTTCTCAGGCTGGTGGTTTTCTGATCATTGTTGTACTAATCAGGTGGACAGACTCAGCCTAGGCAGGGGAGGAGGAAGAAAGGTTAACTCCCAAAACCATTCTCTTTCTCCAAGCCCAGCAGCCCTCCTGGCTCATCTGAAGGCCTCCCAAATTGTCATTAAAGCTGCCCCAAAGGAGAAATTTTGGAAAGGGAACATATGTAGGAATCTTTTAAAACCCTGCAAGACCTTCACACCACAATTCCTCCTGTGATGAATTACATGTACCGAAACCTAAGTAAAATAACTTGTCCCTA